CAGCCTTCTGGCTAAGATCAAGTGTAGCACCCGTAATGTAACAGGAGCCAACATTTCATTCATTGCTGTATTGCTTCTGTATATATACTGTGTATCTTATGAAATATAAAAATACATGAAAATAATCTTACTTTCAAAAACAGCCAAACAAAAGTTACTGACCATTAAAATTAAGAGAAAAAAAAAAACAAAAAAACCCAGCATGGAGCTGGGAAAGCAAACATGACAGAAGGAAAACTAACCAGAGAGTAGTGAGAGGTGAGAGGGCTATCAGAAACACTTCTAACCTGGGAGCTTTGTCCATTTCTGTGAGCGAATTTAGGTTCAAGCTTGACTTATGCTGAGAATAGCATGCTGGAAGAAAAACCTTCTAAGTTTCTGGAGAGAATGTGGGGCTGGTATGATATTTGGAAACCTCTGGCTCCCAGGACACATGATGTTCTTACCTCTGTAGTATATTTGTTGCAGCTGGGTGCTATATGGGAATTCAAGACTGTTGGTAAAATTCAAAATGAAATCTCTTACCATTTTGGAGGATTTCAGAGAAAAAAGTCCTGCCTGAGGAAGAAGGCCTCAAATACATGAGTGAATCTCAAAAGCAACATGTTATGCAAAGGAAGCCAGACACACAACTGAACACACTACATAGTATCATTTATATAAAAGGTCAAGAACGGTTAAAAATTAATTAATAGCGAAAGAAATTAGTATAGAGTGAGAAAGGACATGAGGAGACTACTATGCTGGAAATATTTTATATGTGATATGGATGAAGGATACAAGAGTGCACATATATATAAACATTTACTTTTCATGCACATAAAATAGTGCTTGCACATGTTACTGTATTTCTATCACCATATTAAAAAGACAAAGAAGCCAGTAATGGTAGATCAAAGGCTGAAGCCCAGCCTGGGAAATTTAGCAACTTAGTAAGATCTTGTCTCAAAAAAAAGAAAAGAAAAGAAAAAACTAAAATGGCAGGGCAAAGGTCTAGGTTAAATCTCTAGTGCTGTAAACAGCCAGTCAAATAATCAATCAATCAAGCTTTTATTTATAAAAGGGGAAGTAATTCAAATGCAAAGATTTTAGCAATTTACTGAAGAACAGAAAATAGTCTGTTCTATGGATGGCAATAGTCTTTCTCTACTGGCCCTCAAAAAGTATAACTCTAACATTTCATGATTGTAAAACTTAAGATGCTTTCTCTCTTAGGAGTTTCAAGATCTTGAATATCTGTTAATACACACATTGCTTCATTCACAAAATATATAAACTAGATTGTATGTTATATACTTCATTTTGGAGAAAATGAAGCATAAAAGGAGAATCTTGAGTGCCGGTGATGAACTTGAGATTGAATTATAAATAGGATGATAAGAAAAGGCCCCACTGTAAGCTTCCTTGAAAGAAAGACCTGCTTCAAGTAAAGAGGTACAATGCTAAGTCCTGTGAACATCAAAGAGAGAACATTTAAAGTAGGGCAACGGCTAATGCAAAGGAGGTGGTAGTGGGGATCTGCTTGGCTAGCAGAAAGAACAGCAAGGAGCCATGGGTGGCCTGAATACAGAAAACGAGAAAGAAAGTAGTAGGAAATGAAGTATGTAAGAAGTCTCATCATACAGGACCTTAGGCCACTGAAATTAATTTGGTTATTTACGTAAGGTTGGAAGTCTTTGGTAGTTGGGATAAGACAGTGAAATAAAATAATTAAATTAGATTTTTCTATGATTAACTGTTTTGAAAACAAACTTGAAAAATAATGAAGGGGACAGGAAAATATATGTATAGTAGGGGACATCAGTTAAGTTGTAATAGCCAGGCGTGGTGGCGCACACCTGTAATCCTAGCACTCAGGAGGCTGAGGCAGGAGGATTGCTCTGAGTTCGAGACCAACGTGGGCTACACAGTGAGTTCCAATTCAGTCTCAACTACATAGTGAAACCCTGTCTCAAAAAAACAAACAAACAAAAAAAGAAGTTGTAATAATATGGAGGAAAACTGGAGGTGGTTTGCACACAATCACAGCCCTATGGTGAGTGATAATCAGATCATGGATCTATTAACAGTGGGCAAAGCTAACATGATTTGCTGATGTGGGATGAGAAGAAAAAAAATGAATGCTTAGGAATGGCCCTTAGGTTTTTCTTCTAACAATAAGGAAAGCCAGCAATATTCTAGGGTATTCTAACAATCAAAGGTCAAAGAGATAAGGAAAAATCAGCAAAGGAAACTCTAAAAGGGCTGTTTTATGAGGAAAAAGAAAAACCAGGAGAGTAAAATGTCCCAGAAGCTGAAAAAGAGTGTTATCTGGAGGAAAAAGTGCTTAATTGGGTCAAATAAGGACGACAGGTAAAAAGATATGGACTCAGAACTGATCATTTCATTTTACAACATGGGGTAAATAAATGAGCTGGGAAGAAAAGCAAGCCTTCTGGACAGCATTTAGGGCTGAACAGAGATCGGTGTTCATGAATTTGAAACGACAAGAGTCAACGTGTTCCGTGTATTGAGTATGCTATCTTAAGCTGCACAGGCGCATAGGTAAAGCTGTATTTAAAAGCAGTATACAAAAATGAAGTGGAATTATAGATCTGAGGATATATGTGAAAGTATGATTATCACTGACTACACTATGAGAAATGAGAGCATGTGCTATGGTTTAGACCTTAAATGTCTCCCAAATGCTCACACTTTGGAGGACTGATCATCAGCATGTAGCACCATGGGGAAGAGGTAGAATCATTAGGAGATAGAGCCTCGATGCAGGAAATAAATTACTTCGAGGGTAAGCTTGAAGGGGATCTTGACAGCCCTTTCTGGCCATTTCCTAGCTACCACATAGTTAACAACATATGCCACCACCACGATGTACTGCTTCACCACGGGTCCAAAAGCAACTGGGCCAACCATAGGCTAAAATCTGAGAAACCCTGAGCCAAGGTAAAGTTGTATATTTTGTCAGTAATGGAAATCTGATAGCAGTGTTAGAAGAACAGTGAAATAGTAATTATAGGATGATATAGACTTCTAGAAGATGATGGAATTGAAGAAATACTAGAATTAAGACACTAGAGAGCCCATCTAGTAAAACAGTGAGTACAAAAGCTAAGAAGCTAGATACTAAGGATAAAAACCAAAAACAAAACTGGCAGCCAAGAAAGCTGGTGCCCCAGGCACAGTTGAACATGGAACCCTAAGGCAGTATGGTGAATCCTTTAGAGTTTTCAATGATAACAAACAACCCACTGCAGCAAGCATGCCACAGGCTCACCACCACTAACTACCCCTTGACTAAAAAGCACAAGAAGGGGAACCTCCCCTATAGATGAACCCCTGTCTGGTTAAAGGAAATGGCAAATACCCCGAATCTGGTATATATATTCCAGAGACACCATATATAAGAGAAAATACTAAGCTGGCTAAATCAAATTGAAGATTTTTTTTAAAAAAAAAAAAAAAAAAAAAAAAAAGAGAGAAAGTTCTTGTTACTGTTGCAAAATCAGCTGGTGATAACAAGAATGGTAGTATAGGGTGTTTTAAGCTTTGCAACATGCCTTGATACTACACTACCAAGCTTCAAAAGCTGTAGAGCAACCAATAAAACCCCCAGTCAGCATTTGACAAAATTTGAGCTAGCATAGGAGCATCTTTATCACTATCACTGGGTGCCACAGAGGGAAGAGCGTGGTTTTCCTGAAGTAGGTAAGCAGCAGCCTGCTACTGTGACTGTGGCTGGACCTCTTCCACTCAATGGAGTTCCTCTGCATAGAACACACCAGTAATCTGTCACCACCACCTCTACAGAACTTGGTATCAACTACATGGAAATCTCAGAATGCCTCACTGAATCTTACTTCAAGATGCAGTAGCTGCAGAAGCCTAGACACCAGGAAGATGAAATCTTTAACACACTGAATGAAAAATACAATTACAGGGCAGTGCAAGGTTGATCTGGAAAGCTATAGATTCACAAATGTTTTTAAAAATCAAAGTTATTCTTCAGCTCCAGGGCTACAATGCAATCTGACAAATGAAATTTATCCTCACAATTTGGTGTTCTAAATTTCTTACGAAGAATCCAATTAAATAATAAACAGATGGTGGGGGTTGGGGATTTAGCTCAGCGGTTCTGCCACCTACCTCACAAGCTCAAGGACCAGAGTTCAATCCCCAGTGCCAAAAAAAGAAAAAAAAGGAAAGAAATAATAAACAGACAGACCTGAGAAATCTCTGGAAAATTATAACCAGGAGACTATGAAAGGTTTGCCTGAAATTGAGATTAATGAAGTTTAAATGCTATAACCTTGAGATTTATCTTGCTGCCATCAGAAGGGTGAAGCAGGAGGAGATTAAGATTTTTGCCAATAAAGAACTGATAAACTAGGTAAAAACTTGTAAAAGGTTCATCTTTGTGCATTTTAAAAATCACCAAACAATATGACGGGAATGATGCTATAAAGATACAGTGGGAGAGGAGCAAAACTCTGGAGGACTGAGCAAATATTATATGAAAGTCATTAAAGTGTTACACAGGGGTGAGAAGAATCCTTGTTGTCCTCATCGTCTCCTTTTCCTTTCTCCACATGTATTTATTCCCACACATTTATATACGTATGTACACACACATCAATGGGAAAGAAATATTTTGTTGCTGCTTACTATTAATGGTATGGTTTTACATAAACATTACGTCCTCTATAAAATTTTTAAACTTAATTCTTCATTTATAAAAGACTTTCTTTTAGCCAGGTGTGGTGGCACATGCCTGTAACCCCAGCACTCAGGAGGCTGAGGCAGGAGGATTGCTGTGAGTTCAAGACCAGTCTGGGCTACATAGTGAGTTCCAGGTCAGTCTCAACTACATAGTGAGACTCTGTCTCAAAAACAAAACAAACAAACAAACAAAGACTTTCTTTTAATATAAAACAACTACTTGGAATACAGTTCATAAAAAAATGTTACCAATTCAAAAGAAAAATAACCTTAAATATATTTACCTTGAAGCTTTCTACTAAGTTCAAGTTTTTCTTGTTCAAGGCGCTTAATTCTTCTTTCGTAAGCTTCAGTTGCTAAGTTGTTATCTAGAGTTCTCTGAACATTAACATCAAGATCTATTGAGGTGGGACCAGCTGTAACTCTTAAACAGCTTCGATCAGAAAGAACACTAAAGAAAAGAAAAAAATGTAAGTCCAAACTACAATAAAACTGTGAAGAAAATGGACAACCTTTTGAAACTGTTCATTTAAAACATACATTTGAGTATCTACACTTAGCTAGAAGGGTGTAGAAATATCTTTTGAATAGTTAACATAAACCACTTTTACAAGTATTTTTAAAATGAAAATTTAAATCCCTCAAATTATCTTTAACCTTTAAAAAAAAAACCCCCACATAATGAAGTTTGTTGAAGGGTAGTAGTTTAAAATAATTTGACCACCTAAACAATAGTTAAACACATCAGTCCTGGTACTCTTAACCAGAATTTGAAATTCAAAATTTAAACTTGAGGTTCTTTCTTTAATTCAATATGAACTATTAAGAGGTGCTGGACATTCAGCAGGAAACAAAAATCCTGCTTAAATAGACTTAAATTAAATAGGGCTTAAATTCCAGTGACAGAAACAGTAATAAGATGATTAACTAAAATCTTCATTGCATTAGAATGTGTTAAATACTAAGGAGAAAACATAAAGAAGGAAAACAGAGAAAGCCTCAAGGAAGAAAAGATAAAAATTAAAAGTGGTCAGGAGGGCTGGGGATTTAGCTCAGTGGCACTGTGCCTGCTTCACAAGCGCAAGGTCCTAAGATCAATCCCTGGTACCAAAAAAAAAAAAAAAAAAAGGAGGGGGGTCAGAAAAGTCATCATATAAAACTAAGGAAAACCAAGTATAAGGGGACCATCCAAGGAAATATCAGGAGAAGGAGCAATCTAGGCAGAAGGAACCCAATTCCAAGATTTCAGAAACAAGACTGTTGGACCAGAAAGGCAGTCTGAGTAGATGGGAGTTGAACAGAACAAGGTGAAGAACAGTAGGAAATAAAATCGGAAAGTTAAACATGAACCAGCTGAGTAGGGCCTTGTAAGAACTTCAGTTTGGAGTTATGATATAAAGTCACTAGAGGTGGGGAGTGAAGGGGACTGGTACTGAACTGGGAGAAACATATATCTGACATACCTTTTAGCAAGATAATTTAGCACAGATTCAGAGAAATATAAGAAAGTTATTATGTAGATGGTTAAGACAGCTATCAAACACAAAAGAAAAGAGAGGTCTCAGCTGCAGATACACACTTAGGAGTCATCAATAAATATCTGGGAGAACACAGGACGGAGAGATGGAAAAAAGAAGTCCAGAGACTAAGCCCTAGAACAGTCTAAAAATACTGATTTTCAGAGATCAGAAAGATTAGGAAAACTCAGGTATGGAAAATGAAGAGTGGCCAGCAAGATTAAAAGGAAAATCAGGCAAGTCCTCTGAAGTAAGAGAAAAAAAAATGTTTTAGTGGAGCTGTGGCAAAACTAGGACTGAAAAGTAATCATTAGATTTACAGCATGGAGATCCATGGTGACTGTAACCAAAGAAGTCTGCATGAAGTGACAGTGACAAGAACACAATCCTGACTGGAATGGATTCAAGGAAGAGCAGTATGAGAAAAATGCAATACAGTCAACAGAGTAATTTTGCCATTACACAGATCAGATAACTGGAGGGACCCAGAGAGGTTTCACATTTAAGGTGGAAGAAAGAACTGCATACTTTTAAGCTGAAGGAAATGATCTGATAATGAAAATGACACAAAAAGGGTAAAATGCATAAAGTTAGCAATATACTATGTTAGGCAGGAAAGGATGGACAGGGTTGGCCTTAGCTAGAAGCTTTCATGATCCATCCATGGTAAGAAGAGCATACATAAGTCCAGAGTTGCACAGGTGGAAAATGTGGTGATCAGAGCTTGTAGAAGTTGTTTGATGCTGGCTTCTTCAGTCCTCTTGGTGAAAGAGGAAGCAAGAGCACGAGCTTACAGTGAGGATGACTGAGATTTCTGAGGCAAGTGGAAAGTACGAAATGCTTACCTAGCTGGGAAGACTGAATACACTACAAATATCATCTGCCAAGTAATAAATTGAGGCTGGTAAACATGAATTTAGAGTAAGACTGGTAAGAATGATCAGTTCTCTGTAGTCACTTTGAATTGCACAGGTACAGCAGAGACCTGAATTATAAATGTTAGCATAACAAAGCAAGTGTAACAGAATGACACAGTGAGGGAACTGAGGTGACACACAGGGGTGATTATAATCATTCTCAGTGGAATTTAAACTGGGTAAGAGGAACCAGAGCATCTAAGTGGGAATGAAGTGTGTGTGTGGAAGGGTGATACGATCAATGTGTTGAAAAGTCTCACACTTAAAATCTACAGAGTATTTTATTCATTCAATAGCATGAGACTCTTCTAAATACTGCCCCACTGCTGAGTGTTCGATTTGGAACTCCCTATTGGCCCTATTCTTTCTCTTCCCCAACAAGGTAAGATTCTTGTGTGTTCCATTCATGCTGTAATACCTAATTCAGCCTGTTTTTTACATTCTTTAATTTATAAGGCTCTCTTATTCATATTTTTAAAACTCCAATTCACTTTAATTTGCTACACATTGTCCAAATGCTGAAACTTACCAGCTACTAGTATATGTAAAACCAACAAATGGCAGATGATGGCCAGAAAATGCAGTATGTGTTGGTGGGGGCATTGTTTCCTACAGGAAAAGAAAACATCTGGTAAGAAACAGGTAGCTAAGATTAATAGGTTGGGCTATTAATACTGTCAACAGGAAATATGTGACTGTTCACTTTGGGAACACTAATTATTTGGTACAGATATTTAACGATATAAAATTTAGACCATGAAAATTGATACTGTAAAATCCTGACAAATTAAAATGAAGACTGAAAGTCTGGGAGTATAGTCACTATTAATATATTCTGTGTTTGTGAGTTTACATTAGAAATTAAAATTTACTTATTTTTTTTTTTATTTTTTCATTTTATGGTACCAGGATTGAACTCAGGACCTCAAGCTTGCCAGGCAGGTGCTGTGCCACTGAGCTACATCCCTGTCCCCGCTAAAATTTATTTTTAAACTCCAAATCAATACCTAATGTTTTTGAGATCATTCAAGACATGAAAAAAAATTGAGTTATACTATAAACATCTTCCTACCTAAGGATGAAAGGTAAACATTTTGTTTTCTCACTTACAACGAAATGTCGTACTATAATGAAATGTCCTTTATAAGGTCTATTTGGTTCTAAGTTTTTCATATTTTTGTGGCTTTTGCAGATCATTTTACTTTTTAAAATGTCTCCTAATCATAGCAATAAAGTGCTATCTAGAATTTGTAAGTGAGAAAGCTATGTGACTTTACAGAGTAAACATGTTAGATAAGCTTCCTTCAATTATGAGTTATAGACATGAGTTATAGTTACACATGAGTTCAATGATAATGAATCAATAATCTGTATTACATAAGGCAGGTATGGTACTGCACACCTGTAGTCCTAGCATTCAGAAGGCTGAGACAGGAGTTTCACTGAGAGATCAAAGCCAGCCTGAACTACACAGCAAGACTCCATCAAAAAATAAATAAATATATATGTATATATTTATGTTAAAAGCACCACATAAGGTGCCTCTAAACAGAAGCTCGGATAAACAGTTATGTATTCCTTGACCAGAGGCTCTCAGGTACCTACCTTTGTATGCATTTCACAAAGTTAAAGGTCAATGTTAGCATTCACAGTAACTAATACTGTGAATAATTAGATTTAATTAGATTTATCTGTATCATGCACTTAATTTGAAAGGCTAACAGTAAAGACAATTCTAGTAAAAAATTGGTAAGGGAAGTCCATCTATTTCTTTCTTGTAAAGTTTAAAAAGGAAAGTATAAGAGAAGTTTTTATCTGAATATAAGACTATATTCTGCCTTGAATATAGTACCAAACAGTAAAAAGTAGAATATTAAAAATGTCCATACAGAATTAAAACCACAAGCAATAAAATAACTGAATAAAAATATAAGCTCAATCAGGCACAGTAACACATGCCTGTATGCTCAGCTGCTTGGGAGGCTGAGGCAAGAGCATGACTTGAGACCATAAGTTCAAGGCCACTCTGGGCAACAGAGCAAGACCCCATTTCAAAAACAAAACAAAACTAAACTAAATAAAGCTCAAGAAGAAGAGACAAAAAAATTTTATGTTATTTTCCTAGATTTTCTTTTAATATAACTTAATGACTCAGAATGGGGCAACACATCATCTGGACCTCAATAAATATGGCCTGCAAGCTAAGAATGAATGAATGCTTGACGGGACCACTTGTCTACCTTTACCTCAAGCACAGCCACACCTCAGGCCAGTGAGGGCATGGACTTGCTTTCCCCATTCATTTCATACCAAGTTTGGTGTTTTTAGCAGCAATACCACTGGTGTGGGTATTTGGCCCTGCAAATCAAGTGTCCCTACTCTAGCAGAAAAACTGATAGTTTTTACAGCTAGCTTCCACAAACTGTCACAATCAAGTGGATGGTATGGGTGAAGGGATGTTATGTATGTGATCTTAACCAAAGTTCAGGAGTTTTTGATAAATCTTGTTTCATTTATTTCCATTTGGTTAATATATTAAGTTCTCAACTGACTGCTTTAGGGAATTTTGTTCAGTTTCATAGCTGGTTGGGGAGAGATTTGCCATCCTGTTTACACTGGTATTATGAAATCCACTAAAGCACCTAATTTGTCTTCATTAGGAAACCTACTAGTGGGCCAGGGATTTAGCCCAGTGGTTCTGATGCCTGCCTTAGAAGCACAAGGTCCTGAGTTCAATCCCAGGTACAAAAAATAAATAAATAAAATTAAATTAAAATTAAAAATACTAGGAAAAGGAAGTGACTTGTACGAAACCTACTAGCATAACTTATCTGAGAAGTACATCTTTGAATTTTTCTCTTAGTTATAAATAACTATGTAGACCTCAGTTAACTTTCTTAATTTCTAGATTTATGATAAAGAGCCCTGGAAGTCATGACTGTTGTTTGACTGTTAAGTGATAAGCTGGTACTAGTATAATTCTCAGAGTCCAAAAAAATTCTAACCATATTTTTTTTAAAAAAGCAAGCTGGACATGGTGGCACATGACTGTAATCCTAGCACTTGGGAGGCTGAGGCAGGAGGATCTCTATGAGTATGAGACCAGCCTGGGCTACATAGTGAGTTCCAGGTCAGTCTCAACTACATAGTGAGACCCTAACTCAAAAAAAAAAAAACAAAGCAGAACAGAAGTACCTCATATTATACTTACAGAATTTTTTAAACAATCATCATCCACATCAAAATTTGATGTATCTGTTGGGCTACTAACTTCTGGAATATAAGGTGCTTCACAGTTTCTAATATTATCCCAATCAATGCCACTAAAAAATGGGTGTTTCTTGAAGTCTTCTATTCCATTTTGACCAAGTCGATGTTCTCTGCTGCAAATGAGTCTTCGAATAAGATCCTTAGCATTTTCAGAGACATCGGTCACTTGGGCTGGAAATTGAAACCTCTCCTATACAGAGAATAATAGAAATAAAATATAAATCAGTTTCTAGTTTACTATACAGAATAGCTAACATGTATTTTCTCAAAAATACACTCCCTTTAAAAAATATCTAGTAAGTGTATGCTGGTACACAGAACTGACACTAAAGAAGATGAGAGATGAATAAAGATCATTTTTATAAAAGAATTTTAATTCCATATGTGACTTAGCCAAGATGTACTACAGATAGTATTAAATAGTACTAGTACAGATATGCTAAACTAAGTGTAATAAAAATTTAAATTATTAAAATGAAGAACTTATTAATAGTGACATCTGACAATATATTTCAATAGAATGTAATGATCAATAAAGTTCATATACAATACAAACTAATAATCACCTGATAATGGTAAATATTTTTAAAGAATTTAATATTTATCAGACACTAATCAAAATTATTTATTCATTTAATTAATTTACTCCTCACAACAATCATCTTAGGTGAGTACTACTGTTCTTAGAAGAAATCAAAACACTGCATTCAAGTCATTTTCTCAATGGTATGCAACTAGTAAATGACAGAAATAAATCTTGAACTGAAACTGCCTCACTTGAAAACCTGTGCTATTAAGTGCATATTACACTACAATGATTTCTTGCAGCTATTTTCAGTTTTTCATCTCTTCATAACTATCTAGAGCACCATCTTTGCAGTGTAAATTCTGTAAAATTTATAGAACAATTAATTATTAAACAACTAATCATAATAGCATCACCAGAACACATTAAAAAGAACAGATTATCATTCCCTTTGGGAATATTCATATTCAAGGTTGCTGAAATTGCTTAGTGTCTTATGAAACATATAATCAAAACCTTTCCTCTTCCTACTATATACAATATATTCTATTTCACTTAGTGTTATGTTAAAGGGATTTAAGCTTTACAAACTTTTCCTGATGTGCATTTGGATTGTTGCTAATGTTTTGTGATTATAAATAATCCTGGAATAGATATTCTGTATAAACATCTTTGCTCTAATGAACATTTTCATCAGGTGGATTGTTAGAACTGAGGTTACTCAATTCAAAGGTCTAATCATTTTGTTTCCCTCAGTACTGGGGACTAAATCCAGAGCCTTCATGCTAAACTATATCCTTAGCCTTTAAAATTTTTTTTAAATTTTGAGAAAGGATTTCTCTAAATTACTAGGTTGCCTGAGCTGGGTTCAAACTGGTGATTCTCCTATCTCAAACTCCCATTGGAGAAAGGTTATACCAATTTATATTCCCCTTAAGAATGTCCCAGAATACCCATCTGATAGCATTATTTATGTATTCTATGTACATACTATTTTTTAAAAATTTTTGCCAATTTGATAGAAATAAAGTATCACTGGGTGTGGTGGCACACACCTGTAATCCCAGCACTCAGGAGGATGAGGTAGGAGGATCACCACGAGTTTCAGGCCAGCCTGGGCTAACAAAGTGAGACTCCGTCTCAAAATAAAACAAAGAAATAAAATATCTCACTCTTAATTTTGTTTATATTATATTGTTACTACTGAGATTGAGGATATGTTTATATGTATTCTAGTCATGATTACATGTACAGTAAGTAATGACTTCGATTATCTATGACCTTTCAACTGAGAGATCATTCAATTTTCCAATTTAAATAAAATACAAAATAAAGTTAGAACTAAGAATTTCATGTATAATTTATAAATTTTGTTTATATTTGTTGTTTCCTTTACTACCAAAGGAATGTGATTTTTCACTGTTTTTAGAAAAATATTCTCTTTAATATCACATTGTTTTATTTACACAGTAATTTGAAAAAAAGTAGAGTATACTAACTTTGTGGTTCATGATTTTTCCATATGTCTCCACCAGAGATTCTGCATAGAATGGTGTTTCTCCATAAAGCATTTCATACATACAGACCCCCAAAGACCACCAGTCACACTCAGGTCCATATCTGCCTTTTCCATCTTCCATGGCTTGAAGGATTTCAGGAGAAATATAATCTGGCGTTCCAACTGCCACTGAGGACTGGACCTGAAAAGTTCACATTTTTATTAATCTACTTTAATATACTAGAAACAGACTAATTTTATACTAAAAATAGTTAGCATTTATATAAGATATGCAATAGACAATATTATCTATAACAAGTACATTTTACATTATCAGAGTTTAGTTTCCTGGTACACAGGTCAAGATTTTTTTTTTTTTTTTTGGAAGTACTGGGGGATTGAACTCAGGACCTTGTGCTTGTAAAGCTGGTGAGGAGCCACTGAGCTAAATTACTGGCCCAGGTCAAGATTTTATATCATCTCCATTGCAATGGTTTTCCAGATGTCATAACATTATAGAACCTTTATTACAGCTGTTCCTTTGTTGACAACATTTAGAGGGAAAATATGCTGAATCATCAGCCATTAACAATAAATAGAATATTTGGTTATAATATTATTAGTGATGTACTGATATTTACTTCTGAGATATATATGTGTGTGTGCATGTTTGTTTAACACAAAATTTTATTATCAGATGGGAGAGCTGATAATACAAAAAATATAGGCCAATACTAGAGATTATATTTAAACTCCTTAATGGAAGCCTATGAAAAACAGAGGCCAAAAATGTATTATACAGCAAAATATTTACTAACCATTAAAATATGTTATAAAAGTGGGGAAATTATCCTTTGAAAAATAAAGTCTCAGCCAGCTGTGGTGGTACACATCCATAATTCCAGCACTATGGAAGTCTGAGGCAGGAGGATCACAAGTTTGAGCCCAGCCTGGGTAACACAGGGAGAATCTTCCTCAAATGAAAAAAAGAAAAAAGGCCAGGAATGTACCTCATTGCAAAGGCTCTGGATTTAATTACCAGTGCTGCAAAATAAACAAATAAAATAATATCCCAATAAGAAAAAAAAAGTTGAGCAAATAACTAATAGAGGGTTAGACATAAATTAGAAAATAAGTAACTGAAAAAAAAAAACCCCACCATGGGTATATATAGTCTAAGACAACCTGAAGTTGGGGGGGCACTCTTTTATTTTTTGTTGTTGTTTTTTTGTTTTTTTATTTTTATTTTTGGTACCACGGATCAAACTCAGGTCCTTATGCTTGAGAAGCAGGCAGTGGCACCACTGAGCTAAACCCTCAGCCCACTCTTTTATGTTTTATAAAAAATATTTTTAAAAAGAACATTCTGAAGGTTCTGAACATTCTGAATAATGCTTACTAGTCTTTTCTCTAGACCAAATTACCTTTTTTAATCAGTATAGGCTTCTAGTTTGGGAAAACAGAGATTAATAACTTGAAAACTCTTCTTTTACAAATTCTTAAAAATGTAACAGTAATTTTTAATAAACATAAAAATTCTTTTAAAAAATTCTGAGGGACCAACATTTAAGAAATGGCTTACTACTAGTATGATAAGCATTAGATCTGTGACAGGACTGCAGAATTGTTTGTTTTTTACTTTCTAGGTATTTACATTTTAAAATACACAGGAGACCAAAAGACCTCAAACTTTCAGGAGATAGGGAGTTTGAAGAGAGACTGCCCTATTTAACCCCTCCCCAAAAGTAAGTTGTTAAGTAAAATGGTGAATTACAAAACTTGCCAAACAGCTGAGAAGGACAAGACATCTAATTTATTTTGACTTGTGAAAAAAAATTCTGTAGAAATCCAATAAGTAGGTAACGTAAGTTTCAGCATTTGGGATTCTAATTCACATTCCTTCTGTGCTCCATATGTTCTTAGGCTGATAAATGAGATGATAAAGTGGCATAAATATTGGCCCCAGAATGGTCAGTTTGTTTGCTTCTAGGAAACAAAATAAATCCAAATCTACTCTAGAGAACATATGCTCAAATTTGATCAGAAATAATTCTCACATGTAAAAATATCACTGAAAATGAGCTCATAATCCAATAACATAAACCAAATGAGGAAATTGTCCAGTATGATAAACAGTCACAAATCCAAACAAGCAATACAATGAAATCCCTAGTAACTATGCAGTCTACTCTTTCAAATGAGTATGCTTAAAACTGCTAAATTCATAAAAGAATAAAACTTAAACAAAAAAGAGAAAAATGGACATCCTAAAAAAGAAATGGTCACTGAAATTTTTTAAATATACTGAATAGGTAAGTAGGTTAGATACATTGAAGAAAAAAAATAAACCTGAAGAGGTGAAGAAATTAATCAGCATCCACTATTCAGAGATAAAAAGATGGAAAATATAGAAGAAAGGCCAATAGATACAGACAGCAGTTTAACATAGCGTAATACAAGAGAATGAAAGAAAAGAAACAATAGTGGAAAGCAATGTTCAAAGGTTTACAGTTAATATAGGAATAATACAAAGAGGACCAGTGATTTAGGTAATCGCCGCCCGCCTTGCAAGCTCAAGGTCCCAAATTCAATCCCCAGTACCCCACACACACACACACACACACACACACACACACACACACACACACAATAATATATAAGGCTTGAATTCTTTGATGGAGAAAAGTGCAGAATTAAGTCCTGAGAAAATAAAACCAGCTCCATGTCTACATACACTGTACTTAAATTAGGAAACATCAAAGCTATTTTAATGATGATTTATTACTAACAACAGTAGTCAAAAGAAAATGGAATTGTACTTTGAAAGTGATGAGATAAAATTACTATCAAAATAATATTTCCTATCTAAATTATACATGAACAGATGTTAAAGATATTTTTACAAAAACTGAGAGAACTATAATTTATAGATTCTTTCAGAGACGTGGTTGCACTTCAGAAAATATAAAATTTAACTCAGAGGAATGTGATTTTAGAGACAATCATAAACAAGGATATTAATAAAGTCAAATATGTATCTACATGGCTGTTAACTACATAACATAATTTTAAAAAGAGACAAAGGAGAAGGAAGAACATTGTTACAGAAGGAATTGGCAAGCGACACACAGAGAGGCAGCAGAATGGAGTAAATAACAAAAGTTTATTCCATTGACAGGGATCGATCACATCTAATGGCAGTGCCCCGATCGACCCAGTACTGGGCTACAACTCCTTCTTTATAGGGTTTTACAGCCTTGATCTCATTCAGGGGTTACATTTCATTTTCACAGTTCACATTGCTGATATTCAAAAGATGGTGATGAGGCAATTTAATTTCAACCCAGAGGTAACACTTCTTTGGTAGGGGAGGTTACCTTTTCCAAATTAGCCTAACTTTTCTTTTGTCTACAGTTCTCTTTGGGGGCCAAGACTGGCTTAGCTGAAGCCATGATAACTCACAAAGCTTCTTAAGCATCTTTGGTTTTAATTTTATCCCACAGTCACCCACAAAGCCTTTATCAACTTTTTGAATCATACATTTAAGAACAGCTGGTTTAGTATTTACATTTTCATGATCACCTGATATTCCCTTGTCCAGTGATACAGAACAAACAAAGGGTGGAACACTGTCATGTTAGTGTTCCATTCTGTCTATATTAGATGCTGGCCACAGAATCACAGAAACAGGCCACACACAAGCTCCGCAATTTGGGAAGGGATCATTAATAGGCACAAGCGCCCCCTCCCTTTGATTTGGTGCACAGATGAGGCTACCGATGGCTTTCATAGCTTGTTTAACTCACTCTCTGAACCGAGTCTCTTTCACACACACAGTCACACAATAAGTTAACACATTCCCTCCCTGGAGCCCCTTACAAAGCACAATAACAAATTGAGGGCAATCGAAACCCTCACAAATGGTAATGAGTGTAGGATGATTAGACCTGCACTCTAGATTTTGCCCAAATTGAATATATAAATCCTCACAAATGGCAGAGAAGGGAAGGTAATCAGGCCTCCAATCTGTAACCTGCCCAAATGTTCAATTAAGAACCAAAGCAAAGCAAGACAAACTAGGGAGTAGCCCAGGTGATTGGGCTCACCATGCAGAGTAGCCCTCACCATTCAGAGGGACGATTTCACTCACTTGCCTTCCTTCTGCTGTCTCTGTTCTAGGTTCAAGTGATCTACTGCTAGTGAGCTGGCCTCTGAATCCTAGAAAAGGAACCCAGGAAATCCTGAGGATGCACCTCTTCCCTTCTGAGGATGCGGACAGCTGCTCTCTCTCATGGGACTCAGGCCAAGGCCCAACACGGGCCACGTCAGTTAGCCCTTTCCTTCCTGGCCAGTGCACCAAATGTTACAGAAGGAAATGGCAAGTGACACACAGAGAGGCAGCAAAACGAAAGTAAATAACAAAAGTTTACTCCATCAACAGGGGTTGACCACACCTCATCGTGCCCTGATCGACCCCCGTCAATAGAGTAAACTTTTGTTATTTTGCTTCCATTCTGTTGTCTCTCGGTGCGTCATTTGCCAATTCCTTCCACAACAACATGAGGAAAAAAGATGCAGAACTACTGTAGGGCTGAAAAATAAGTTGGTATTTCATGGAAAATGTAACTAGGGTTTACTGGTGCATAGTTAAAATAATAATAGTAATAATTGGGGGCAGTATGGGGATTGAACCCAGAGTCTTCTCCCTGAGTTATACCCAGCCTTTTTTTTTTTGAGACAGACTCTAAGTCACCAAGTTGCTCAGGCGAGGCTCAAACTTGGAATCTTCTTGCCTTAGGCTCGCAGGTTGTTAGAATTACAACACACTGCCACTGCAAAATTTAAACTCTGTTTCCATTAAACATAATTTTCTTTTTTTCTCCTTGGTACTTGGCAATCTTTCAGTATCTCTGAATTTGCTTTAGGTGCCACAGATAAATGGAATTATATAATATTTATTCTTTTGTGACTAGTTTATCCCATTTAGCATAAATTGTCTATGTTATGTGTCAGGATCCTTCATTTTTAATAGGTTACCACTGGCTTGAACTACATGTTACATGCATGACTATTCTATCAGGCAGCTGGCATCAATGATGGTATAAGTGTTACAGTCATGTATGTCTCACTGCTGGTTCAAGTCACTCAGCAGAAAGACATACAAATTATAGCCCCATTGTGAATGTGTTAAAGGCTGATTACTTCTATTGTGTGTCTATACACTACATTTTATTTATCCATTTTTCTGTTGACAGACATGTGAGTTGCTTCCACCTTTCGGCCCTTGTGAACATGCACATGAACAAGGGTGTACAAATATTCCCCTCATGTCATTCACGCCTGGCAATGCTGCTTCCCACTTTGTGCTTCACACACCCTGGAGCAGTCTAATTCCATATGCTCATCTATAGTTTCTATGACTACTACCATAGTATTATGTCTATGTATGTCATAAACCTCACATTACAATCTTAATTGTTTCTGTTTGTTTGTTTTATAGTACTAGAGATCTGAATTCTGGGCCTTTCCACTGGATTACATCCCCTGCTCCTTAAAAAATTTTATTTTGAAACAAATTCTTGCTAAACTACCACAACTTCCCAGGTTGCGCTCAAAGTTGCAATCCTCTTGCCTCAATATCCCATGGGTGCCATCATTACAGGTAGGCATCACCATGCCTCGCACAATCTTAGTATATTTTTCATTTAACAGCCAGATGCTTTTTCTATAAAGCTTTTTAAAAGTTATAGTCCTTTTTAATTTAGCAACTTATTTATCATATTTGGTGTCCTTTACAACTAAGCACACAAATGGTATCATTTCCTTCAATTGAGGAGATTCTTTAGCACCCCAACCTGCTACAAAAACCTCTCATTTTTTCACTTATTGGAAAATGCCTTGCCAGGCATCATGGTGCATGCCTATGATGTCAGCACTCGTGAGGCTGAGGCAGTAGTATTGCTGTGAATTTGAGGCCAGCCTGAACCACAAAGTAAGACACTGTCTCAAGTAAATAAAACAAAACAAATAAAAACAACAAGAGTAGCAACAATACACCAAACTCTTAGATCTTATTGGGGTCTGGATTTAAACTGTAAGATAGGCTTAGAGCAGGTCTCAAATCTTAAGTATTATAAAGGTGTTAACTGGCTATCTAGGGCAAAACCCAGAAGGTCTCTTAGTATTTTACCCTCCATTAATGCTTGATCTCTATGGTAGAATTCCAGTTTTACATGAAATATCTATTTGGAAAAATTCACATGATCTTGCAGTATGTATGTGACACTCAACTTTATGAAGCAACCCCATGTGGATATTTTAGACTGTGTCTCTGCATAATTCCTACCTCTCCAATGCCAAGCCTTGAAGATTCCAACTAATCAAACTTTGGTTTCTTCAAAGCTCTGAAGAAATGCTTTGCTCTAACTCTAGCTATCTGCAGGAGCATCAGTAACTGTTCCAATTCTGAGCAATTACAAGGTACACCTCGAGAGTTCATTCCTATCAGCAATAACACTTATGCTCCTTGTTGGTCAATGCTTGAAAACAGATGTCTCAAATGTTGTGCCTAGATTTAGATTTGTTCATGTATAGTACGAGGACTAATTTGGTTCAATTATTCTTTTTAACATGACCAAAGGTATTGGTCAGTATCCTGACCAAAAAGGCTAACTCATAGAAATTAAGCAAAGGGGGACATAAAAGTAGTGTAATCTAGACAGCTTTCTGAAAAAAATCATTTGTTGCACACTGTTGCTCTGGATTACATAATTTGGAAAGAAAAAAGAAATAAAAGTGGTAACGCAGTTGCATGTTCTTTTTCCACATAAGACTTATTTTCCTTCCCTTTCTGAAAACTCAGAAATATGTTGAATCCAACAATAAATAATCACCAAACTAGGAGCAAACAAGGTTCCCAAAACATTAATCTTCAGTTTAATTTAAGCTTCATAGGCAGGCCCTATCATGAATACACTCAAATGCCTTTGTAAAGGAAGTGGAACATAGATAAACAAATGGATGGCTGGATGGATAGCTAGTATAAACAAATAGCTTCTAAAATAAAGGAAGAAGACATACACCAAGGGAATATCTGTGGATCAAATAATTTTGGATTTATCTTTATTTACCGTTCCATCTTCCATCAGCTTCAGACAAGATCCAAAATCTGCTAACCGAATATGTCCATTCATATCCATCAATATATTGTCAGGTTTAATGTCTCTGAAAAAAAATTAATTATTAGTTGGGAAAATAAACCATTGCTTGCTAAGATAACCTTTTGTTTTCTGAAAATCTCATCTTCTTTTAAAAGTAATACTCTAAGAAAATCTAGTGAACTACTTTATAAGTTCAATTCCTGGCTGTGATTCTTACTTAAACTTTCCTAAACACATTAAATTTAGTATTCTACAGATAAAAAGGACTGTAGATTCTGGTTAAATCAATCTTATCATGTTTCTTTTAGGTTTTACACAGGTTTGAATGTGGCTATGGTACACCTATTTTCTGCATATAAAGAAGAGTCATAATTACCAGACACCCACAAAAAAATAACATTATCTAGCTCCTAATATTGGACAGGAAAAACTGTATTTCCTAGATGCCTATCTGCATCTATATAACTGCAGATACATAAATTGGGTACTGCACATCATCGTAACACAAAAGAACTGTTTCATAAAGCTGACTTTGCAACTGCTAAAACAAATGTGTAATAGATTATACTATTTAAAGCTTTAACCATTTCTGGATGTTAAGTCAATGGTTCGCAAGATATTACATCATACCAGTTTTTGTATTATTTTTACACCTGAACATGAATTTTGGTCAAATATCATACATAAAATGGTTTGTAAAGAAGATTCTCAGAGCTAGGCATGGTGGCACAACTGTAATCCCAACACTTTGGAAGACTGAGGCAGGAGGACAGCAAATTCATGAGCAACTCAGTGAGACTGTGTCTCAAAAATATAAAAAAGGGCTGGGGATATAGCTCAAGGCAAAGACATTAGGTTCAATTGCTAGTAAAACAAGAGGGGAAAGGAGGGGAGATTCTCAGAGATCCAGCAGTGTTCACACGAGCTGAGTGTGGTGATGCACACAGGTAATCCCAGAACGCAGGAAACAGGCAGGAGGACTATGAGTTCAATGCCATCCCAATGAACTATACTTCTAAAATAGGAAAAAGAATTTTATGTAAACAGTATATACTTCTATGTTTTTTAAAATTTCTATTGTTATGTGGTAAATGGGAGTATGGTAGAGTCATTTTAACTTAATATCAATTTAAAGTCTCTCTGCATCAGTTTTCTCACCTGTAACAGGAGCATAATGTTGGTAATATTTTGATCACTAAAGCAGTTTTTGTGAGTGTACTGTACATCACAGGTTGGCAAATTATGGCCTATGGGCCAGTGCAGCCTGCTGCCTGGACTGGCACAAGAAAACTTTCTGGAGTGATGAAAACATTCTTTACTGGAGTAGTCATTCTACAGATGTATGCAGTACACTGTCAAAATCCATCAGTGTATATTTAATACCTGAACATGTTATCATCTATAGTTCAATTTTTAAAATAAGGGGAAGAAAAGGTAAAATTTATCTTTGAAATATGATATTGGAGTCTTGAAATTTTCATTAGATATCATTCTTTAAAATATGCTTAGTTTACTCAGATAATTTCTATTTTTCCTACAGTAAGTTAAAGTGGCTTATATTTTTCTAAAAAAATACAAGACGGTATTCATTTAAAAATTTGTTAGAATACAGTTATTCATAGTATTATGGTTTCAAAAAATCCACATTTGTAGTTCCTCCCCCCACCCCAATCCTGGGGATTGAACCCAAGGTTTCTTGAAGGCTAGGCAAGCACAGCATTACATCACTGAGCTGCATCCCTAGTTTTTATTTTACACCCTGAGATAGGGTCTTGCCCAGGCTGTGCTGGAACTTGCTTTGTAGCCAGGCTGGTGTCCAGGTATATGATGGGGAAAAATGTTCTGTCTTCTCTTTCCATGAAGGGCTTTGCCCTAGATGTCAGCAGAGCACTCCCGAAAGTCAGGACTTCACAGCTGCACTGAATCTCTTTCCAAGAACACTTGCCTTTCATGGAGCAGCCCACATGCCATGAATGATTGATGTAAAAAGGCAAAGATCAGGTTATATTAACCAACAACCAATACTTCAGATGGCCCATAAACTCTCCAGAACTCCTAATAGGGAGCGTTGAGGTTTTGGCCTGCAGTGTAATCTGATTTCTCGCTCCACCCAATCCTGTTTCCTCTGACTCCCTTCCACAGTGCTAATCCATAAGAAACACCCTGCATGACACATTTTGACTTGATGCCTGCTTCTGGAGAACACAGCATTTGATAAGTGGGACAATAGAACAACAAATTCCATTTTCTCATATAAGAAACAAAATAACATCTGGTATTCAGATCCATTCTGAGTCAGTGATACCAAGCACTGTCAATAAGGGAGTGAAAGGAAGGTTCAGGCAAAATACTAGTTCCAACCTTGACAATCTAAGAAAATTAAGTGATAGAAAAGTTTAGAAGAGATAAAATCTCAATCACTATACACCATTGTGTATTCACATTTTTTCCTAATTTGAATATGAATCAAATCACTTATCAGTAATTTTTCTTGTCTTTAAGTAAAAGTAAATACCATTTGGATTAAAAAGGACAGCAGCTTTTAAAAAACAGTAAGTCAAAATTAACATTTATAACAATATATATATATTTATTTTTAATAGTTAAGAATTTAAAAAAGTATTCTATAACAATAACCATATTGAAAGGGACCCTAAAATATAATTATTATAAACATTATCCCTATAACAGTGAAATGTAGATTTAAAAAAAATTTTTTTTTTTAATTTTTATTTTTTGGTACCTGGGGTTGAAGCCAGGGTCTTTCCACTGAGCTACATATTTGGCTCTCTTTTTATTTTTAATTTTAACACAGGGTCTAGCTAAATTGCTAAGTGTCCCAGGCTGGGCTTGAACTTGGGTTCCTTCTGCCTCAGGCTCCCAGTAAACTGCTAAAATTCTCTCATCTCCCCCAACCCCCTAAGTGAAATCAATGTTTGCTCTCCAACTAGGCTGCCTATAGCATATAAAAGCTTGGCAGGCACCAATTGGCTTCAGGAGCATAGTTTGCAGAGAAAGCCATGGGTATTGTGCCTTGTGCCAAAAGTAAATGGCTGACCTTCTTCAGGAGGCTTGATCTGGAATCATTTCTGTTTGCAAAACTATGTATAACCTTGACATGTAATCACAGAAATTTTGCCGAAGAAATATTACAACATAATAAAGGGAAGAAAATTTACATTAGTAAAATTATGTCAAAGATAGCTTTTTCATCAGTCAGAAACTAGACTTTTTTTTGGAGGAGAGGGCCTCATACCTCTCATTCTTGCTTTAGCCTCATGAGTGCTGGGATTACAGGTATGAGCCACCACAGATTAAACTACTACCCACCGCTGGACATGGTGGCACACACCTGTAATCCAGCACCTAGAGGCTGTTGCTTGAGGATGGCTTTGAGTTCAAGGTCAGCCTGGGCTACATAGTGAGACCCTGTATCAAAAAAAAAACACACAAAAAAAACCCAAAACAAAACAATAAACAGATATCCACTGTAACCAAATCTCATAACTAGGATAAGATGTAATAATTGAGGGAAACTGGGTGAAGGATATACATAAAACTTTTCTGTATTACCTTTGCAATTTCCTGAGAATCTGTAACTATTTCAAACTAATAAATTTCTTAAAACAAATATCATTATGAACACATTTATAGAATTATCATTCCTTATCTTGTTATACATTAACATGTTTTTATGCTTATTGTATTTAATATTTGTATTTAGATAAAAATATCACTAAAATGAAAAACTGTGTACCAGTCAGTTCTATCTGCCTCAAGAATCCAACACTGAAAACTGTGGTGTTTTGTAAGAAACCCTAAAAGACTGAGAGAATTTACATTTACAGATCTTGTCCCTCCTATTTCAGGTGTCCTATACACCACTGGCCTACAATCTAAACTCCCACCCTCACCAACTGGATAACCACCAGCCAATAAACTATAAGAGTAATTGCTTTCTTTTCTGAGAACCACCTTTGATGAAATATTCCCTCCAGATGATCTTTCTTGCTAAAGTCTTTTTAAAATGGTGCTACAGAATAGATCAGCAGTTCTTTAAACACCCTTACTCTGCGTTTTCCCTTAAATGACTGATATATTCACGGGGACACCAATGCTATCTGTGTTTGTCATGAATGTTATACTAAATGTAGAGGCCCAGACAAATAGGACTATTTTAGTGTGATAAGAGTCTTGGTTAAAACTCAGGGTGTGGTCTGTGTAGTGAACAACTAATCTTACCCAAAGGGAGGTCAGCTTTTGTCCTTAGCTACTGGGAGGTGATGTCTAGGGACTTTGGAATATCACGACTGTGAGGGTTAAGCTTAATTATCAATTTGACTGGCTTGGGGGCCAAGTAGGAGAGTTAGTAAAGCACACTTTTTGGTGTCTGGGTGGGTCATGGAGACGTGATCTTGGGGTCTATATCTGGTCACTGGCTCCTATTTCTCTGATGCTGTTCCTCTGCTCTGCTCCGCCTGCCATGAACTGCGTACCTTCACTCCACCACATCCTTCCATCATTATGTTTCTGTTTTGGCACCAATAGATCACGTACTGAAACCACTAGCCAAATTAGCCATTTCCTCCTTTGAGTGGTGGGTGTCAGGTATTTTGTTCCTAGCAACAGGAATGCTGTCTAAAACAATGAGTGGTAGGAGTATCTTTGGGTGCCAGACAATCTAACAATATAATTTATGATGGATATAACTTTCATCTGGAAGGGATGGAATCAGCTCGACTTCTAGGAGGGGCTGGAGACTAAAGACAATCACACAGGCCGTAATTGATTCTCTCTACACAGACACAGACACAGACACATACACCCTCTGGAAACCCAATGCTCAGTTAGCAGTATTCAATGTGGATCATCATTTAAGGATGCTAGGCTGCACTACCATCACCAAGAGAGGATGACAGAAGCTCCATCACTGGCACTTTTGAATTCTACCATATGCACTTCTTCATTTGACTGACTCTAATCTTTATGTTGCCCTCTTTTTTTTTTTTTGTTTTTGGTTTTGAGATAGGGTCTCACTATGTAGTTGAAACTGACCTGGAACTC